CGTGGAGCCCCTGGGGCAGGCCCCCGGGCGAGCGTGGGGCCAGGCCGGCCTCCCTGCTAGCAGCTGGCCAGGCAGGGCCCCTGTCTAGGCACAGGGCCAGCCTCTCTGCCACTGCTCTGTCCAGGGCAGGGCCATGGAGAAGGGGGAGGTGCACAGTGACACGCTAGAAGCCACTTTTCTGTTGAACTGGGAGAGCAGTTGCTGCTGCTCTTCACGGGCTGCACTAGCGATGCCTCTCCAGCACAGCTCTGCCAGGACGTGGCAGCGCACTGTCCTTCTAGTGGGCATCGTGGTCCTGCTTGTATCCCTTGTCGTGGCTGTCATCCTGGCTTCTGTTCTGACACAGGGAAAGCAGGAGATCGGTCCAAAAATGCTGAAATGGAAGGACAGAGGGACCACCAGAAACCTCCAAGAAGTCATCCTAGGAAGGTGCTACAGCTATGTCATGGCAAGGCACCCTGAGCTTGGGTGAGTAACAGCCTCTGGCACGCGTAACGCAGTATAAGGGAAGTGAACAGAAAAGAGCCATCTACCATCTCCACTGAATCATGTCCTCCAGGTTTGCAGTGGCATAGAGAAATCTGGGGAAAAAAGTTTTAGTCGTGTGGCAAAATGCACCAAGTCAGGCTGCAGCTGGCTGTGCCTGAGCGCTTTCTTAAGGAAACTGCCTGCAGAATGAATTTCCTTCTGCCCAGCTCTGCAATAGAGCAATAGGGCTGAGATTGCATGTTCAGGGTGTCCGGGCCCCGTGGGAAAGGCTGAGTACTGAATAAGGAGTAGCAGGGGTCCCCCTGCAGGTAGTGGGGACACCCAACACCTCGGGCCCGACCCCGAAGAGGTCCCTTAACAGGCACCCATCCACCAGCTGCATGCTACACAGAGGAGGGAAGGGACTGTGCACTGGGAGCAGGGGTGGCGAGGAAGGGGCCAGGGCAGAGACGAGCAAAGCCATCTCCTGCAGTAGCAGCCAACTGTTACATCAGCACAGGCATAAAAGCCTGGATGAAAGGAGGTTGTGAACCTGGAAGAAACGTAGATGCTAAACTACTAACACGGACACGTCTCCTGGGTGCCGTTCTGCTCAGCAAATTGGCTTGTCTAAGGTGAAGCTCCACATGCAGCTCACCTGGCCCATGTGGCAGCTCTCTGCCACGACAGAAGGGGGAAGCAGCTCCGTTTCCCTTCTCCCCAGCTCATCCTCGAAAAACCTTTCTCCTCTGAAAACCTGGAAACTTCCTGATGGAAAGCCAGGGAAGGGGGTAGGGAGGGAAAGGGCTGAATCATTTCTGTGGCACCACACACCCTGTTTTGGGTCCTGAATGAGCTTCTGCCGGAGATTTCCATTGCCTGGAGCTGAGCCTGGTGGGGCTTGCCTCACAGCTTGCCCCAGTAATATCACATTCCTGGTCTTCGACTTAAAAAGATAATTGCCACTTCACATTTTCATGACGTTAAGCTGAAAACAAAGCTTAAATATATACAGAGTGTGCTTGGATTTTGACTTCTTTTGGCCTCTGCTTGCAGCGCAAAGAATCCTATATGAAAAAGCTGATTTGTGCTATTTGAAGGGAAATGGACCCATGAAATATCATGGCCTGACCCCACAGGGATTTAAGTACATGTTTTACATTAAATATCTAAGTGATTCCAGTTAAGGCGGCTGCTTTTCTGAGTAAAATTTAAAACTTCCTGAAGCTTTTGCAATATAATGTACATGTTTCTAAAAGTGTACATTCATTTATTAAATAAGAATACATTCAATATCTAAATCTGAAATTATTTTGCAAGCCTAATAGCCTTCATTACTTATGCTTGTTTGTTTCGTTCAAATTGGGGTACTGAAGATATAAAAAAATCACTTTTGTGTAAACATGTTTCTAGCCAACTTCACATATGTTTTCATTCACAACTCAGTCTAAATCTGAACCACAAATAGGGCTGGGAATAATTTGTTTAAAGAATGCTTTGAAGAATACTTTTTAAAAAGTCACGGATCCATGGTCATAACTTTTCTAAAATGGTTGTTCTTATGAGGCTATTCTGAATCCAATAATATTTAATAGCTTCAGGAGGACTGTGAGCACTTTCTTTCTTGTAGGTGGAATTATTTCTCTATAGTAGGACTTTCTTTCTTTTACCTATTGAAGAAAAAATGTGAAATGTATCTGAGAGAGACATCACTGAAAAAGGAAAAATGTTCATTTGTGTACATCTGAAATGTTCAGGAACCTCCTGAACAGAAAAACTAAAACGTAGGTTGCTGCCTTTTTTAAGAATCTAATCTTAGATTTGTCATTTCCTACCCTACTGAGATCAGTGTAGTATGCAGTGCAACCAACTGCTTTTATCACTGTCACTTACTGATAATAAAGCCAGTGCCTTTGGGACACATCACAGATCCCTATATCTTTCATCCTATGTTCTTCCATCATTAATGTCGGCCTTATATCTTCCATTCCATGAGATCTTCGGTGTGCTTAATCGAACAAAAGGATTAGGAAAATGGAACTGAAGAACCTCAGACAGGCTTATAAACTGATCATGCTGTATCTTATACTCAGGCCTTTTGTTGCCATCACTCATTCTAGAAGAACTTCACTGCTTTGGTTATAATTCTTCTAATTTCCTCATATTTACAGTCTGCTTGTGCCCTTTCAATCTTATACTAACAACATGTGCGTTTGTTTAAAAAGCTCTGCTTTTAGTAAAGTCTTGTACATTTTCTCTTATTTTTACTTACCTATTATGCCTTTAAAGGCTTTTTAAAATTTGCTTTAAAATCTTGGATATGACTTAATTTAGACCAACAGACCTCTAGTTGCCTTGATCACTTTCCTTCCTTCTCCTTTTACCACACTTACATATTGTTTGCTCTTCTACAGTCAGAATAATCCAGATCTGCTCTCCTTAACCACAAGCATACATAGACTGTATTTTTTTTTCTCTTTTGACAACCCTTTTGTTATCCTTTGGGTCTAACTCACATATTCCTGCTTATCTTGACTTTCATGTTTTCCTGGCTAAGCCGTTACTTCCTACTTTCATAACACTTCAAAAGCAATAGCCCAACCAATACAAAAGTGCTTTTTGGTTCCACACCTCTACATTCACTGCAAATGCCAAAAATGTTGGCATTAAGCCTCAGCCAAACCTCTCTCATTATCCTACAACTTCGAGTCAGAGATTAACGTATGCTTGAAGGGACCTTAGTCAGCCTGTTGGTCCAACTCTCCCCCCATTCAAAACACAGCTTACTGGCTTACTGCTTTTACTTCAATTAGCATCTGACATTTCCAAATATTACAGCAACTCTTTGTGCTGAAACATGCCGCTTTTCGATCATTTCCTTAACTTGTGCATCTCTCTTCCACTTGTGTTTTCATGTTTAACAGTAGTATTATACTCTAGTTAATGTATAATTTGATATCTGTAATGTTTTAAATGTGGCTCTGCTGCAAGTATTGTTTAAAGCATGGTGTGGATTAATTTCCCTCTCCTTTAATAACATATATATATGCATACATACATAAAATGTTGTAAGTGTATGTGTATTATATGTGCTCTCTTTTTAACTGTAGAACAAAATATTTTACAGATAATATCATTATCTGCATTTTACAAATGGAGAAACTAAGGCAGAGCTTCCACAGCTGGAATAAACATAACACTTGATAGAATTCCATCAGAGGACCTGAATTGCAATTTTTTTACATTAGTTACAATAGGTTGGTTTTTTAATGCACACCACCAATATCTACTAGCTATTCAAAAAGGTATTTTGTATCAGTCCATTGAGATATTTAAAATGTGCTTATCAGTGGCTATTCAAACAGAAGTCCTGATTAGCATTCACATCTCTCTAAAAGTTACTCAAACAATACATTTTCCTTATTGCAAATACAGCTTCTGATAAACTGTACAAAATATAAATTTTTTCTCTTTACAATGTGCATAATAACAAGGTAGTGTGACATTACTATCTTGTATAATGATTAAATTTTGTAAATATATATGCATAAAAGCAGCTTTGACATTCTCCATTTCTCTGCTTGATTAGAAGAAGAAACACAATCGTTCAATTTGCTTTTGTGATGAGCCAATTTTGCTGTCCAACCTGATCTACATTTGCATTTTAATAAAAGAAGCTGTAAGAATCTCACTTAACCAAAAAAACTCCCCATAAAAACCCTGAAATGCTCTCCCCCTTCTTTATTGGGCACATCTTGCAATGTAAGACAGGGCATGAAATGAGGAAGAACTACAAAATTTGGTTGCATTCCTGAATATGCATATTAAACAGTTTTTATACAAAAAAATTGAAATCTAAGTTCCATCTTTGATAATATTTTCAGTTTTCTGATATCAGCAATATATTCATTACAGTAGTTAGTAAGTGTGATCATTACTACATTTTGGACTGCCATATTTTGAAAGTAGAATAGCTGGCTGGTTTTGAAGCAAAGGTGGATTGGTGGCCTGTATTAATAGGAATTTCTAGCATTCTCAGACCTCACAGATGGATTTAACAGGGGCCAGGAATCTACAGTCCCCGCTAAGCGCTGATTTTTCAACTGCAGACTGTAAGTCATGTGACAGTACCACTGACATGCTGATGTACACCTTTACCATCAAGTCTGCAATAACTCTAGAGGATTTGAACACACTAATGGAGCTCTGTACACAGTATGCAATGAGCATGCTCTGTTCATACTCCATCTTTTCCAGTCTGAAATGTGGGCCAGAACCCAAGACCAATAAGGCCACTGGAAAGACTGTTGCAGACTGCAGTAGAGTTTTGTGAATACCTCATAGGCAATCTGATTTTATCCTGTGAGTTTGCTTGTTCTCCAAAATCATCAAAATTTTCAGCCCCTGTATTGCAGTTGCTTGCTAAAGAATAGTTCGCTACTGCTGTGTATACAGCACTTGCTTCTAATAATTTTAACTGGCTGTGTGCAATACAACCCTTAGGATTATTTCTGTTGCTGTTTAGATTACTCTCATCCGTCAGGTACTCCCTGAGGTTTACATGGTGCTTAGGGATAATTTGCACACATACACTTTCCTCCGTTATTCCTCCCGCGCAGAACTCTCTCTCTGCCAAAGTTTAGGAGAAACAGGCAGCGAATGGCAAATGCCTCTAGCAAGGCATTTGCAATATTAGCCCCATTTCTAGGAAAAAAATGCTGATGGTATAGCAGCAGGCTTTAGGGGTATTTTTCTTCCCTGCACATGGCATTGCACAGCTGCATAATCTCATTAAAGATTAGCATTATTTCTTTTCAGCTTCCTTCAAAAATATTGACCTCTGCCAGAAGACAAAGACAAAGCAATAGTTTATCACAGCTCAGTAGTGTTATCTTTTTGAATATTAACAAAAGGTGGAAATTCTGCTTTCTCTAGTCTTCCAAAATTCCCCTACTCATCAACACTAGACATTGATATGTGCTGTACTTTTGTCTGAAAAA